TTTTTTTTTTTATGTATTATTATAGAACTGTAAATGTATTCCATATTTATTATATTATTATTACATATTATATTATATTATTATTTATTTTATATACGATGAAATATGGTAAATTTGACAACGTTTCATACAATTTCATATGCAATCGTGTTTATTTTTTTTTTCTGAAAGGTACTTTTAACTCATCTACAAACATACGCAATCGTCTTCTACCCTTTAAGGGGCGTACTCGTACGGTTAAAGTTTAAAATGTATGTGCCTTTAAAGTTTTTATATATATATATATATATATATATATATTTTAGTTTAGTAACTAAGAATAAGGGAGTACCCAAAAAATGTATTGGTAAAAAGCGGTACAGTGTTCATATAAGTTTTGGAATCCCTGTTTTAAACCATTTACAGTTTTCTCTCTTACATAAACAACAAAGGTGTAAAAATGTAATTTTATCAAAATCAGTAAAATATATTACCGCGAACATAAAAATGTATTCCAAATAAAAACCAAAACCGCCAAAATAAATATAATTTGTACCAATATCAATAGTGTATATAATAATAATAAGGTTCATTTTTTAACTACCTATATTTTATATTTTTAAAATCGTCAATAATCGATATCAAGCGCAATTTTAATCGTGATGATGATAAGATGATAGGTAAGGCCATACTTAGTTTTTAAAATACAAATTTTCAATTTAAACTGGTAAATTTTTTGACCTAACGTTTTTCAAATATTCTAATCTACTTATATTTCATCTGTTGTAAAATTATGCCCTCATGAGGTGTCTTTAGTTTTGAACTAGAAGGAAAAGAATTCAAAAATAAATATGTTTTTGCAATTTCCAAATAATTCATCAATTAGGTACTATATAAATGTATAAACTAAGCAATGAGCAACATAAGATTGGTCTTTTAAATTCCGATGACTCAGCTGCATATTTTATGGTTCGTATATCTAATATCCTTTTCCAGAATTCAAGCCCATAAATTTCTGAAAGATATTTATAAGAAATAATATGTAGGTACATCTCTAAAATGTAATAATCACTGCAGGTAGCATTTATTTCAAATAACTATATTTTTGCTTATTAAATAAAACGCCTTTGTTTGTAACCGTTTTTGTAATATTATAGTTTTCATTATAACTTACGCATAATGCGTAATCTTACAAAAAACCTACATACCAAAAATTTTAAGTAATAATATAATTTATTAAGTTGTAATATTAAAATCTCTGACGCTCTATCATGATCATAGAATATATTTGTCAATAAGGTACCCGCCAGGGATTTTAGCGCTTTTGTCTTCTGCCGGTTTTCTCCAATGGCAATAATATTTTAATATTAAGTCGCAGGTAATATTATATCGTTTACAATAATATTATAATTTTGTATTTTATAGCTGTACGCGGTACTCTGCGTGATATCGCAATATCAAGAGCTTATGGCGGGTAGAGGTACTGCGCGTTTCGAACAAACCTTGAAGGTAAATATTCAAAGCATATATTATTAACTCTAAAAGTTTTTAATTACTTCTAAAATTAAATATTTGGTACATTAAAATAAAACTTAATAGTGAATTAAATATAATTTTGTATAGATTATAGTTGTACACTTGTACACTGTACACATATATATAATATCGTTCACGCGTATATGGTTTGAATACGTTTCGAACGAATATTATGGCGAAACTTTATCCCCTTCAAAACATATCATTCCGCACAAAGTTGAATATTTTTTAACGCATAATTATTGTTCATAATAGTATACCGAAGGTCGAATGAATATAAGTCCCAAATTTCAATAAATTATAAAATTTTAAATTTAGGTACATTAAGTTTTTGATATATATTATTATGTTGTAAAAATTGTGTCAAATACAAAAGGTGTAAACAAGAACCAGAGCTATGTGTGGTATCGGTTAAAATGTATTTATTGCCATGAATAATTCATACCTATATATACATGCCACTGCATTTATTTTCTAATTTAATGTATTTTATTGCGCCATGATTTACATTTATTTTAGTGTTTGAGCGAACAACATTATACAAATCGTGGTAATGTAATAAAGTGTAATTTTTATGGGGATTTCACTTCACATAACAAAGATAATGTTCTTTGGTTTAATTTCCAATATAAATTGAAATCACCTATATATTGTTGAATTGTCGTAAGTCTTATACAAATTCAGAGATCCTTTGAGATATAAACCCACCATAAAAATAAAAATTCAAATATTGTATTTTATTAAATGCTTTGTATTCGGTATGCGTAAGTTCTTAGCATCATATTAATAACTCGTTACAGTATTATTTAAATTATAATCATTCGTATTAATCCCAATAGTTATTATTTATTAATAGTGCGTTGTTTTTATTTTATCACAATTATTATTGTGGCAGTATTTATGATTCAACATGAATTTATTCCAATCTGATACGATTTTATTTAGATGGTAATGGTTTACATTTTTGAATTCGCTGTGGAAAATTTTAATAACGTCATTTACCAATATGAACACATACATTCACTTAAAACTTATCCAGAACAGAAAGTATATATAAGCACTCAATCTATCTAAAACTACAAATAAAGAGATATAGGGATTTTTATACTTTGAAAACCATAAGATAATGTTATTTTTTCCACAAATAAAATGCATTTCGAATACCTAATAAGAACAATTTTATTATAATTAAATAGGGGTTTTTTTTTTCATAACATACGAACCATAATAAATATCGAGTTAGGTTTTATTTAAACTTTCGCTATTATATTATTTTGTATTTGAACTTTGGTGTATTAATAATAATCTGTTTCGTTGTGTGCTCGTACAAAATACATTTGTATAAGCAAACATGCCAATGTAGCTAGGTTTGCGGCAAGTTAGTTGTTTATTCAGAAAAACGATTGGTATTGAAACAGCGTTTCTCTTTAACGGGTCACTGCAGTAAACTTTTATACCTATATTCTACATTATAATAATTGTGCGTCGAGAAAAGGCACGTTTTTCGTTCGGAAAGTGAGTAATTGCTGTGAGCCAGTGTATATTTCCCAGAGTATATATATATATTATAGGTACACATAATTTCGCATGTGTACACAGATATCGAACCCACGCGCATTATGATTAACTCTGCGGTTAAATACATTTTATATAGAGATTCGATATATTTTATTTTATTTCAAGATTTTTATACGACGTTTTAAGTTCGTAAATTCTAGTGAATATTCTCTTATAGATATAGCCGTATAGGTTTCAACGTGCAATAAAAGCTGCAAAATATGAAGCAATAGAAAATTTAAATTATATTATTTAAATTTATATTTAATAATCGAACTTCGACGTGATAATCATTCGAAAGTTGAAACTAAATTATAATTAATTCATTATATCTCGTTCACCACAGTATACACGACGCGTATAGTTATTACTGTTAAGAGGACGTAACACCCGCATGTGTTGTCTCCGTCTTACAAGTGCATAATATTGCAAAAACTGTTTCGCGCGGGAAAGAACCGAGAAAACTACAGTTATTACTGAGAAACAAAATATTCACCACATAAAAAGGAGAATTCTGTCTGTGCAATATCGTTTTTATTTTTTCGATATCACTTATTCAAAAAAAAATTCTTATTGTTTCATAATACATTAATTTTGTGTTTTTTAAGCATGAATAACTTTGTTTTTAGTTCTGATACCGAAAAAATAAAAACGTTATTGCACAGACAAAATTCTCCTTTTCATGTGGTGAAAATTTCGTTCCTTAGTTATAACTGAAGCTTTCTCGGTTCTTTCCCGCGCCAAACAATTTTTGCAATGTTACGCACTTGTAAGATAGAGACAACACATGCGGGTGTAACGTCCTCTTAAGAACATTTTCTAATTTCCAAATATACTTTTTAAATCTATGTATAATCGGTTTTTTGAAACCATCAAAAGTATAAATAATTTAGTACATAATTTAGAACTTTTAGAACGTAATTATCGACCCTTTTTTTGTTGAACTTTTTGTAGCATTACATTCCCAACTATATATTAGTCTTTCGAGCAGTGGAGCAAATCCACTGGTGCAGAGAGGCACCAGCCCACTCCTCTCCTCATAAAGATCAATGATGGTTGTTGGGTGCCGACTGTTAAATGTCTAGGTTTGTTAAAATAAAATAATTCGCACCATTCCGTCTGAGTTATAGTTATATGATATATAGGTATCTCACTTGATAACATAGTTTTAATTGTATTATGAGTATTTATACACCACGTGACGTTAATTATGAGTAATTCGTCGTTAAAAGCTTTACTTCGTTATTAATAGTGCAGAAAGAAAAGGAGATAGTTATAGGTAATAGGTACTTATAGGTGTATATCAGAAAAGTAAATTTAAAACTGCAGTTGTGCACGCGCAATCACGCCGTTGTAAATCACTAAGGTCTGTGTTATGACAAGTTAAGATGTGCAGATCGTTTTTAGAATTTTATTAATTATTTTAAGTTTGATTTTTTTTTAAATTGCATAGTTATAGTAGATTATTACAACCTACCACATATTTCTAACTACTCTGCCTGTTCAGAATTATAGTTTTATTGACTCGGAAATAATAAGTTTGATGTGTGCGCTACGTTTATAATAGATATCGCCGGTGAGGTACACGTGTCAGCCGACGGGCACCAGTTGCCTGAGTTCGAGGCGCCCGGCCACACTTCCGGCGTCGCCAACGCAGAGTCCCACGAAGACCACAGTGACCGCGACCACAGGTTCAGTGGTATTGACGGCCGGCGGCGGAAGTTCTCGCAGAGGTTCCAGGAAACACGTCCAGTTTCCGGATTTCGACGTGCCAAACCTAAAGTCCACGGACCTGTTGCACGCGAACTGGAAACAAGGATCATCTCCACCGCCCGAACAGATGACCGGGACGGCCGCAGGTTACACATCCTCTGGTAAGCCTCGGTTGTCTATTCGTATTAAGTTAACCCGTTAGGTTATTGTCGAATTTTATTCGAGTTTTTAAATATTATTATAGTATTTTTTATTTTATTTCGAATTTATGGTCGCCGTGTAGGCAACATAATAACGATAATATACTTGCTGATCATGATATAAATTTGAGCGATTTTCACGATGAATTCGAAAAATATGTGCATAATAGGTACAGTATTGCACATTTGTTTTCTTAGGTATATGCTCGCAAACTATATAGTAGTACCTAATACTGCTGTTGCGTGTGTACAGAGAGATTTCGTTGTAAAACTGAATAGGTTCTATATACAGTGTACTTATTATACACAGAACGATTCTATTTTATAGTAAACACGACTCATCTTCTCGAAAATGTTTTTTTTTTCAATGAAAAGTAATTATCTTTTTTACTACGCGTCTTTTGTATAGTCATCGATTCGACTGACAATACATACATATTTTTTAAGTACCGTAATCCAAAACGATTTTTTTTCTTTAATTTTGATAATTTTGATATATATATATATATATATATATATTTAATATATCATCATAATATATATTTTATATACAAGTCAAATTTTAAACATTTAGTAAATTATAGTCATATTATGATATTTATAATATATCCGATGAAGTGGATATAGTGTATAAATACATCTCGAGTGGTAGGTACCTACTCTTATCCACTCCATTCCGTTCATTAAAACTGTACATACTTCTGTATATGTATAACTAATTAACTATACCAGTCCGAAATTCAATTAGTGTATATAAAAATTCTGTGAAAAAGTCAGCATTGGAATACAAAATTTAAAATATACTAAAAGTGTAATGTCACACACCAATATTGACGTTAGTTTATAAAATGAATAATAATTATACATCCGTTAAAAAAGTAAAAACTTAGAAGATAATCATGAAAAAAAAATGTAAAGCGTTAAAAGTGATAGAAAAAAAAATCACCACGATAAAAATAAGAATTTTTGCGGAAAACGTTATTGTATTTTCAGGAAACACGACGATTACTTGGATGATTACGTGTATGTAATAGTATATTAGTTTTAAGATCATTCTCGTATTTGGCATTCAGCAATGTTGGTGTTTCAGTGTGCATTTTAGAATTTTTGGTACAATAATTATCTTCGCGTAGTGTATTTTTTTTATGATTCTTATGAATAAATATAAAACGATTAATTAAGCCAATTAAATATTCATCGCCTGATTGCCAAACCTCGACGACCCACGCCGTCAGCTGCTATATAGAACTCAAATTGTTAGCGGCTGACATTACACACTTGCAAATTCTTCATGTGTGCCGTGTACGCATCTTAACCTTATTAATATTATACGCAAAAGGGGAATTCGGTTTTTCTTTTTTTAACGAACGGAAAACTGTGCACGCTCATACCTACATTGTCGRTGCCGCAGTAATATAATACATTTATATTGTTGTGCAGTTGTACTCGCGTAGAGGTAGCCCGGCGTTTTATTACCTCAGTGACTGCACACACTTTTGTAATCGTCGTATTTTTCCTTCTTTCATCCGTCGTTATTTCTTTATAGCGTCGTATTATTATGAGGTGACCCGTTAAGGCACTTGTCGTTATATATATTTCAGACTGCACCGACGTTTTTCAAAGATATGATTATGAAGGTACTTTAGTTTGCCGTTTTGTGCCATGATTGAAAACACGTGACCGTTGATGATCATTAATTCATTGTTCAATAGACATTATTACATACACACCAACGAGTGATGTTGACAGATTTCGGGGTTGGTAAATTGAGTTCCAAAATACCCTAACTCGGTAAATTGAGTCCCGAGGAAAAATAGGTAGTAGATAAGTTGAGTCCCGGAAAAAATAAGATATTAGGTAATTTGAGTCCTCGCAGGGRAAAACGATTTATATGCGTTTAAAATTTAAAAATATGCACTATAAAATTTTTATTTGTGGACATTCATTGACTGCATGTATATGATTTTGAAAATAGCAACATGCATTTTTATTAATTATACAATTATTTTTTTTCCCCAACGATAACTAGGTATCGTGTTTGTAGTAATAGTAACGTGTTTGAGTGTTTCTTTTAAATTTTGTAAAATGGAAGTAATGATTAGTGAAAAAAACAAAACTGTAATTATAAAATACGGTTTAAGTTTAGGTTTCATAAAATGTTTAATAATGACGTACAGAGATGGACCTGCTGTAAAAATACATGGAAGTGTTTTTTTAAGAGACATAAAGATGTTGATACTGAAATATAAWGTAATGTATAATAATAATGACATTAATTTATTATTTTTTATTATTTTTATTAATTTATATTTTTAATATTTTTAATCAATATAAATCTAAATATTGYATCCTTTTACAAATAGCTTAGCATAAGTCAAAATATTTACTTACTAACAATTTTTTCCCAGGACTCAACTTACTTACTAGGTACCTGTTTTTCCCGGGACTCAATTTACCGCTTTCAAAATGTACCAAACTTATCTCGGGCTCAATTTACCCYGACAGATTTAATCGATTGTATATAAACAGGTAAAATTAGGTTTAAATATCCTAGGCGAGTCATTAGACGCCGCAACCATCAAACTTCTATAGGTAATGAGGCGAATAAAATAGGTCTTCAGATTAATGACGATAATAGGTACCGAAATAATGGAATTGATTGGAAGTGATGAAGACCCCCAAAGATTTGGAACAGTTATTGTACGAACATTTCGAAGACTTTAAATACCTAAGCACAATTCTATAAGGACGTAGTTCACTACTGTCATATCGTGTGTCGATTAAATAGGATTGTGATTGGACGTTACTTTTTTGCTGTCGTGTAATAATCAAGTTGCAACCAAATGTACCAAGAATTGACTGTAGYTCGAATTTTTCCTTAGACCCCTTTTAAAATCTAAACTATCCCTAACAAACAAGGTGACAATATATAAAGCGATAATCCGCCCGGTCTAGCTCTATGGCATTCAGCTATAGGGGTCTTCAAAGCCTTCCAACATCCAGAACTCTACAAGCTTTTCAATCAATATGTCTACGCCTAATAACCTCCGCCCCCTGGTACGTAACAAATAAAAATCTCGACAAAGATTTAAATCTACCTACCCTTAACGATTTGGCCAAATCCCATTATACCAAATTCTTTTCCAAACTCCACACTCATTACAATCCTTTAATCCAAAAATTATCCTCTGCAACACACGCTCCCAAAAGACTAAAAAGTCTGTGGCCCCGAGACATGCTCAAAGCATTAAAAAAAAAA